ATTGGTTTTTAAAATATTAATTAAAAAATAAATTTTTAAATAATTCTTCTAAACCAAATTTTAAAGGTACGAATTAGGAAACTTGAAAAATTCTTTTCCCATAAAAAAATCCACAATAAAAATAATCTTATTTCAGAAAAAACTTGGGCCCATTCTTGGGCCGCAGCCCAAGCGGAGTTCTTTCCCCCGCACCGTAACCATAGGAAATGTCCAGAAGATATTTCGGTAATTTTTTTTTTTTTGAAAATAGATATTTCGGTAATTTGGTAGATCCTGAGAGAGCATGAGACAGAGAGAGAAGACGAGAGGAGAGAGGAATGACGGAGGCTTTTGGCGTTGGCGCCGACCGTGTTTTCCGTCAGTGGATCCGATTAATAGAGAGAAGAGGAAACTGAGGAAGTGATAAAAGAGAGAGGAGAGAGACAGGAAAGATCGGATGAATAGAGGAGAAAAGTGGAAGAAGATGTGAGGGAAGACGCATTGGATCTCGCCGGAGAATGTCGAGTGGATGAATTAAAGAGGAGATTGGAAGAAGATTCAAGTGGAGAATGCAAATCTGGCCGGAGGTGGTGACGCGGAGGTGTGGAAGAAGGGGCGACCGACGACTTCCGTATTCACTCGCTCTCTTCCTCTTTCTCGTATTTATCTTCCAGTTTCCATGCCTTTGTTTTGGTTTATGCACAGTTAAACATAGGAGCAGACTAATTTTCAGAATTTTGTGTGGTTATGGTTATGGTTTTATTATTTATTGTATTTTCTCTCAAATTTATTTATGTTTTCACGTTTCCTTTTATGGACACTGCAACTGAGACAGAAAACAGCGGATGAATTGAAGAGAGAAATGGAAGAAGATGTGAGAAAAGACGGTGGATCTCGCCGGAGAAGGTGGACGTGAGTAGAAGAATATGCCAGCAAAGAATGAAACTCTCGCCGGAGGTGGTGCCGCCAGAAGACTTTCGTACATTCTTTCTATCTTTCCATATCTTTGTGAGTTCTATGTTTTGGTACTGTTAGGGTTAGAGTTAGGGTTTTATTTTTTTTTTATTGTATTTTCTCTCAAATTTATTTATGATTTCCGATTTAGCGTTTCCTTTTATGAATACCTTCACCTACACCAATCTTTGCTTTTTTTAATCTGCTCTTCAAACGATGCTGTTCCTCTTTGATTTATTTTCCTCTCTTGCCCCTTCTCCTAAGGATTCTGGTTAGTTCCAGTATGGTAGTCACCGGGCGTCCGCATTGTCACCTCCTTTTTCATTCATATGTAGTGGTTTATACGCCTGTTTGATTTTGTTTTTGTTTTATTTAATTTTTTTTACACGGTTATGCCTAGGGGCTGAGGATGCGATTAGCAACATTTCATATTCCTGGTTAGGGCTTTTATTTTTTATAAATTTTTTTTAATTTCTCGTTTAAATTTAGTTTGATAACATGTTTTTTAAGTTCTTATTTGATCCTAATATTAGATAATTTTGAGTTGAGTTGAGTTACTGGTTTTCTAAGCATCTGGGTGGTGGATGGTGGTAGTGGGTGGGAAACTGAATTTTTAGAAGAATCCTAAGATTCTGCAATATTTGTTTTTAGGGCAAAGTTCAGATTGTGCTGCCACCTGCAGCAAATATATTATTTTGTTTATATGTTCAAATGTTATGGAGAAACTGCTTATCTAGTATCCATATTCATAGAATCCATGCTATGTCTGGTCCATTAGTTGAGATAAATGGTTCTAGCTCTGAATACCATGGTGGGTGGGTTGCCAGGCGGAATTAGATATTTAGAAAGGATGCTGCTAGGTTATTTTATGTCAACGATTTCATGCTTGTACTGCCACTATAATAAATTTGCAATTAATTTTTATTTCAAATTCAACTGGAGAATGTTCCTGGGCAAATTCATATAATTTTTACTATAGCTTTCATATGGCTCTTTCTTATTTGCTTCATATCATTATCAGGCTAAAATTATGTTTATACCTCTTAATTCCTTCTTTTTTTTTTATTTTTTTGTTGGCAAACATTTTCATCTTTTCACGTGTCTTACACACACAAAAAACTAGGCTATAAATCTATGAGACTTTAGTTTTAATCTTTTAGGAACCATACCTATCTTGCCTCCTAGACACTCATGCTTTGCTCTGTGTATAATCAATCACATGTTTCATTATGCAAGATGAAATGAAAAGCATACATATGTAACTAAGTGCATGTGGATGTGGCTTCCTACTTTCTTTATGCACTAGACAAATGACGGGATCACAATTTGAGTGGATAGAATTTTGATGTTGAAAGGGTCTGTCATGCACTCATGCATGATTCCAAAAGCAATCCTTTGCCCATATCTTGCATGATGGCAGCATGCATAACTATTGTGGAGAAATTAATTCATTGTCATGTTCTTGAATAGTTATTTTCTTTTCCAATTAAAGAAAGGGAGATGAGAATTCATGTGCTTGTACTTTTTTGTTACAGACCTGAATGCTGGCATTCTCAGGATGCAATTATGTTTGAGGACAGAATGAACCGGTCTCAATAAGAGGCAGAAAACTTTACATGTAAGGCTCAAGTGTCATGCCTTGTAAAAATCTACATCCATTTCCATTGTTTGGTCAATTTTACTCAATTTCATGCCCCTAACAAAAAAACCTGCACATACGGGCACACATGCAAATGAACAGAACATTTATTTCCTTTTGCATGACATGAAACATGATGCTTCTGGACAACTAAGCACTTTCCAAATTATCATCATCACTGTAATTATTATGATTATGGTATTCTTCATCCTGGGCCAAGTTTCTGCATCATAGTCAGTTTAGATTACATGATCTTTGTGTCACATTGGGGCACATACTTTGATTTGTTAAAATTATCAAGATCCTGCTGCTTGTTACCCTGATGTTAAATGAGTTACCCAATGTGCATTTCTTACTGTTATTCGTGGTAATTTAATCATGGATGCTTGCTAATGATTAAATGGTTTTACAGTCATTTTTTCTCAGTTTTATACTTAATTGTTTTTAGATTTATTTTGGTCAACAATTGTGTTTTTAGATTTCTTATTCGTTGATTTTATCCTCCTACTAGTATTTTGGACAGCTGAAATATGAACACTTCATTTCTTTTTGATAGTAAACTGGGAACTGCTTTTGTTGATATATGTTTGAGTGCCTGATAAGTGCCTGGTTTTTATAGCATTTTTTATAGCATTTGAAATCCTATCCCCATTCCCCTTGTACATGCCCTGGTTCAAACCAAAAAAGAAAAATGGCTGTTGAAATTTTTTGGGTAATAATGTGGATAATTAATTTTTGCAACTTTTATTTTCAACTTTTTAGATGTTATTGAATAAGTATATACATATAATATTATGATTTTTAATAAATTGAAAAAGTCAATCATTAAATCAGTTTAATTGGCTTATAGGCGACTTTTTGATGTTTTCAGCAGCTAATAAAATTGGGTCGGGCCTTACAGTTAATAACCTTTATTTATTTTTTGTTGTTTGAGCTGGACCTTGTTCGTGCTCCTTAATTTTCATCTTATAAATAAATATTTAATTATCTTGTCGATTCTCGCATGAAGTGTATTGGTTAGGGCGGCAACAAATGAAAAGTTTCTGTATTTATTCGGAAGGTTCACAATATTTCTATCTTTATACCGGTCGCTTACAATATTTTTACAATATTTTAGTAAGATATCTTATTGGCCGTTGTTCCAACTCTCGATTCGCCCGAAGATTCCAAAAGAGAAGCAGAACCTAGACTCTAGGCCCATGAAAATGCTTACTGGGCACTTGTTAGGCTACATTATTGCGGCCGATCACCAATGGGCTTTATATTGGACCAGATGGCCCATAATTGATTAACAAGGTACAAAATTGGATCTGATTAGATAACACGTTGGGCCTGAAGGTCTATATGCGAAAATTTTTCATTTATTGGGTCAAATCGAATATCCTAATACATAATTGGGCCCATCGGGCCAAAATGGATCTTGAATTGGGTCAAATGGCCCATAATCAGATAGTTTAATAGGGCTTGGGCCTAAATATTTGGGCTGATTCGGCCCAAATTGGCTGTAGATTGGGTCAGACGGCCCATATTTGCTACTTCATTGGGCCCGTTGTAGCCCAATTGGGTCCATATGGTCACCTTATTATGGCCCATAATCAGATTTTATTTGGGCCTGGACGTGCTTAATTGGGCTTGGACTGGGGCGACCTGGCCCATATTCTGATTTTTATTGGGCCTGAGCGGGCCCAAATAAATATTTGTTGGGTTTTCTGGCCCATAATCGGATTTTATTGGGCTGGACAGTACTTAATTGGGCCCAATGTCGGATCTTGGATTGGGCTAACTGGCCCGTAATCAGATTTTTATTGGGCTGGACGGTGCTTAATTGGGCCAAAAGGCCCAAATTGATTGAAACTGGGCCTGATGGCCCATAATTACACAGTTTATTGGACCTTGGCCTACTTAATTGGGCCAGATACCATAACTGGGTCATGAGCCAGGCCTAACGGTACAAATCAGCACATTATTGGGCTGGGTGACCCATAGTTCGTCTTGTTGGACCCGTGTCCAAATTATTATACTGCTATTAGGCCTCCCCCTTATTATCGTCTCCTTATTGGGCCCCGACAGGCCATTCTTTAGGACCAATGGCATGAAATTGGATCTTGAATTCAGCGTAGTGGCGCTCATTGACTATATGAGTCCAAAAAATTTTACGTTCCCATGATGCAGTGTAACGAGAGCTTATTAGTGAAGTCTACTGTAACTGGGGCATAAGAACTTTATTTATTGGGCCTCACTCGGCTCATAATAGTCCATAAAGTTTGTGATTTCAAAATTGTCTTTGCAACTCGGCTAATGGATGGCTTCTCTTATGGGCCCTATGAGAACATAAATATACTTTGATTGGGCCTTCAGTGAATTAAATTTCAACAGGCTAAATACAAATAACTGTAAGCAATTAAAGATAAATACAAATGATTGCAAATAATTAAAGATAAATACAAGTATATGTACAGCCAGATTACCACTGCAACCGTTTTCTAGAATTACAGAGTTGATTTTCTCCTCTACAAGGCCGCTTCAAAACATCATTTAAAATGGCAATGGCAACTACCTTCACATACAAGAATGCTATTAACCCCTCAAAAGATGCAATTAATGTGGAAAAATATTTTTTTTTTACTCAAAACCCCACAGTCACTAAACCATAATTCGATAATGTCTTTCTAAAGCCCACCTAATTACCAAAAGTTAAAAATACTAAACCATAATATGAGACAAAATATTGTAGTTAAAAAAAAGAAAAAAGAAAAAAGAAAAGAAGAAGAAGATGATGACGACGATGAAAATCGTCCTTCACGACCACATAATGACTAACATGAAAAAACAAATATAATAGAAGCAAAAATGCATAAACAAACCACCATCAAGCCCATATTTCACCAAAACCTGGCAAATTTGTCTTTTTAGACATCACTCAAAATAAAAGGAAAATAATCACAAAGAGATAAATGTTAAGGTTAGCTGTAGAAATAATGAGAAAAACTCCAGATACCAAACATCTAAACCAAGGAATCATAAATATTAATACCATATCAAGAAAATCTCCAAAATTCCAAAATAACTAATTTTCCCTATGATCACCCTTACTCAGAGTTCAACCAGTAAATTTTCCTCAATTATCACTCCTACTCAGAGTTTAACTAGCACATTTACGCAGCAGAATTAGTGGAAACAGAGCATCATAGCATATTTATCAAAGCATACCAGCTCAATAAGAATAATTCAATCTAATGAGTATGTATTTTCAATTAGTTAAGTAATTGGTGGGTAGAGAACCAATATAATTCAGAAGCTTAAAAACTTTAACCATTGTTAAATCAAGGTTGTGAGAGCAAGACAATGATTTATACTAGAAAGCCATTTTAGGGTAACAAGTCCGGGTATGACACTATGACTATTAATTAAACATGAACTTCTTAAAAATTAGCAACATTGCATTTCTCCTACCAACTCCATGTGATGATATCACACCAATATATTTGAGCCACTCAGCTAACGTACTAGTACAACATATGATCTTTAGCTCATATCATAAAATATAATTCACTTCCATTAAACTAACTTTCTCTTTTCCCTCACTTTTTCCTGCCCATCCTCTCAAACATGGTGATGACCATTGAAAGCAAGTTTAAATTCCAACAAATAATGGGCTGTTTTAAACGTCAACAACAGACTTTGCTCAAAATGAAACATGAAATGAACTTGCAGTGGAACTAAAATTCAATGCCGTGCAGCTTACCAGAGAATCAGGACTTGTCAGCAGTATGTAAGAACATAAAAATCACCAGATCATAAGTGTTGTTTCCATCGCAAACAGCTGAAAACAGAATAGAGGCTCTGCTTCTCTGGCCCATGCAAAGTACATCAACAAGCTAAGCCTGCAAGGACTTTGTAATTGATTCTTCTCCTCCACACTCCAAACAGAGAACCTGCATTCAAAACTCAAAAATATTAACCTATCATTCTATCAAAATATAGATTCAAATGTTGCTCTGAATTCCTTAACTTTACCAGACAGACTTAAGTGA